TGTATAACGTTGTATTGCCATAAATGAAATGTATAATAGCGTACAAAAGGGCATGAAATGATGCCATAAATAAAATGTAGATGGGTGCATTATTGACATGAAAGGATACTATAATTGAAATGCATATGAGTAAATTATTGGCATGAAAGAATTCCATAAATGAAAATGCATAATGGTTCATTATAAGTATGAATGGAGGCTCTCAATGAAAATAAACAATAATGACTAAAGAGATAAATGAAAAAAGAAAATATAAAGAAAGATAGGTATGCTAGGCATACTGAAAATAATTAAGATAATTGGGAATGGAATACGGTGTAACTAAGGAGGATTATAGGATCCTTAAAGAATATACAATTCAGTATGAATTAAATAAATATGGCATACTTAAGTATACATAAAGATTTCTTTACAATATTATGTCTCACTAAGTAACTACTTAACGTGTGTTGCTTCCACGCATAGGTAAAAGAAGAGACAAAGAAAATAAGGAGTACAACAGTAGCAACAGATATCATCAATTAAGGTTGACTCTTCAATAACTATAGGACGATCTGGTGTGTTTTGGAAAAATTTAGTTGGCATATAATTAAAGTATGAAAAATGCTCTAAATTGTATTTAAGTAGACATTTTATCATATTTTAATTAATGTTTTGCTTTATATTAAAAACCATATGTTTTAAGAAAATCTAGAAACAAAATTTTACGGGTTTATAAAAGAAATATTTTAAAAGTGATTTGATATTTGTATTTCGTGTACGGAAAGGTATTACAGGATATGGGTTTTACAGATATCATGCAGTCAAAGTGTTTAATAAAATCATAAATTTAAAATAGATCAGACAGATATTTCAAAACAACACTGTAATACCAATATGAACACATTTGTACCGATCTGAGAAGTCTAGGATGGTAGCCTACTCCCGGGTTTGCCTATCACGGTCAATGACAGTACTAGATCCTACGAATCGGAATAAGTGTATCAAAATCCTAACAGATTAAATAATAAACTTCAATTCAAGTATTTATAGAAACATATGAGTAACTCTCGAAGTACGTGGACCGTAATGATCTATCGAACGGGAAGCACCAGATTTAGTTGACCTTCGATTAGGGGAATCATGAGTAGCTTCATGAAAATAAAATTCAAGATCAATTATATAATCGAATCCCAAATAAATAAGAAAATATGTTAAAAATAATAAGTATTTTTTATTTAATGGGTTGGATTTAGAGTTTTCGGGTAAGAATTTAGCAAAACAGACCACAAAATCGAACTCAGGATGTCAAAAAAATCAAGAGGGAGGTTTTAAAAAAAAGTCAATGGCGATCAATGGTCAAATTCAACACCGATCAACGATCAATGAATAATGGCTTAGCTCGACTCAGCTCGGCGTGGCTCGGTTCAATTCAGTTCGGTAGGACTGATTTAGTCCAGTTCAGAAATGGGCCATTATGGTTGGGTCGATTCAGATTTTTGGGCTGGGCAGGTTAACAGGTCGGATTAGATGACGAGTCAGATTGGATGGGTTAGATCGGGTCAACAGGTCGGGTTGACCCGCTTCTAGAAGGTCTACCAGGAAGTGGACGATCCCTACGCGTAGCGGCGACACTTGGAGGTGCGTACAGGGCCCCAGAGCGTCAGAAAAATTATGAAAAATTTCTATAATTTGTTTTAAGGAGTTTTGAGACACTTACCTAGCTCGGTTCAAAACAGTGAAGAGCTCTATTCGTTTTAAGAAGCTTTAAGATACTATTTCTCCCCTCTACACGCCGGTGAGGGAGACAGCAAAATTAACACTGGCGAACTTGGGCGATACAATGAACATAATGGTGAGGGTGATGTCAAAAACAGAATAACGATTAACGGCAAAACTACTATTGGAATTCTTGGTTTAACCTTGCTAAAAATGGGAAGTTAAGGAGAAAGGGTTTTGGGGCTCTAGAAATAGAAAGATGCAGATTTGGGAAGCTTTTAATCTCACCCAAAAAAGAAAAATGGTAAAATCATGCATAGGTCCTTTAAGTTTTATTATTATTTTATTTGGACCTAAATTTGATTAAAAATTCATTTTGGTCTCACCAAAATTCAATTTAATCCTCAAAATTAATGTTGAGAAAATTTTAAGCCTTATTTTGAAGTGTGACTGGACTTCATTCTTGTGGTTCGATTGGACTATTCTGCCTTGGCTGGTTAGTTTGAGGATTCTCACTTCCCTTCTTCCGCTCCGCTTACAGGTTAGATTCACTATTACGACTCCGCCTTTGGCCAGAATTTCAATACCCTACTTCCTTCTTTCTTTTTGGCTAGTTTCTCAGGGTTAGCCGACTTCCCCTTTTGGTTTGGATTGAGTCAAGGAGTGTCAATTAAAAGGCGCCAATTTCATACTTTAACAAGTTTATTTTCCCTTCGTTCCCCTGAACCTATGTTGAGATGAGCTAATTCACTTCTAAATTATCTGCACTCCTGAAGCAAGGAACAAAAAACAGGGAAAGCAACTGACCTCAAAGAATGACTTTTAAAAACCTACTCAATGGGGATAACTTCCTGGGTAGAGAGAAAGGTAAACGAGAATATGGAGAAACTATACTTATGTCATTCCTGAGTGAATATTCTTTATATAAATGGTCACCTATAAGAAGTGTTCTCGTCGGACTATAGTCCTCATCAATCGAAGTCTCTGGTAGCCTATTCCAATCCTTTCTCCCATCTCCTTAAAAAAACTATTCTCTTCTTTCGCTTACGTTGGTTTGGCCTACGAGTGGTTCTCCTCAACCTCCTTACGCATTGGTTTGTTTTGTTAGTTTATCGTTCGTTCACACTCACTTCTTCCCCTCCCTTTGGTGGTCAAAGTAGTTCACCCCTCCCTTTGGGGGTCAAAGTAATTCACTTTTTCCCCTCCTCTTTGATCGGATTCTCAGTAGTCAAAGTAGTTTATGAGTCCTTCGCTCATTGTTGAACTCCCTTGTTAGTTAGCGCATCACTTCTTCTTTCATAGTTGGCTGCGCATCACTTCTTTCATAGTTGGCTACTCTTGAGGCCTATTCCAATTTATTAAAGTCATGACTTAGGCTTCATAGTTGGTCTATATTTAGAGTTGGGTATATGGGCTACCTGCCCGTTTAGCCAGCGGATTTTGACGTTGCTGGCTTAAACGGAGCGGTTTAAAAATCCTGCATTCATAAACGATTTTGAATTCTAAGGCCTGCGGCCCGTCCATTTAATCCGCGGGCTAAACGGGCTTACCCGCAGCCCGTTAAATAACAACAATTTTAAATGCTTTAAATACAATAAAAAATAATGTTCTAACTTGCTACACCTTTAAAAATGATCCAGCAACTTAAAAAGGAAGGTAGCAGCAAAAAGTTTGATTTTTCCAGGAAAATATTGTATTTTTTATTAAAAATATAAATGTTAATATTATTAATAACTTAATTTAAAAAATTAACATATCGAGTTGGGTATCAAGTAGCTTGCTTTTACTTGTTAAGAACTCGAGTTTGAGCTCAAATCGAGTCTACTTGATTCAAATATTAATTGAACTTTGATTAAAACGAACTCGAGTAATTCACAATCTGTCTCGTCTTATAACACTATATGTGTGTAAACATGATAATTGATAACTTAAAGACAAAAAATTCAATGGACTAATATTACTATGTATGGAGTAATAAACATAATTTTTTTCATGCTTTATTGTTATTATTATCCATTATTTATTTTATGCCTCACCGAACTCAAACCTCAGGGCTCATTTCGTTTCTATGAGAATATACAAGTATATAAATTTTGTAGTGTTCGGGCCATGTCATACGAGCTAACTACAACAAAACTTTTGAAAGTGTAAAAACAACTCTTAGATAGGATATTGTTCACTGAGTCAACTGAACGTACCTGATGGATGAATAGCTTTATAACATGATATTATTCGTTGTAATACAACTTGATAATTAATAAATGTGAATTATAAAACATAAAATAAATTAAAAAATAATTAAATTAAGCGAATTACCCGCAGTATACCCATTAAACCCAAGGATTTAACAGTCGATATTAAAAAACCCACAATTTAAACGAACTTTAATTTTTAAGATCCGAAACCTACACGGCCGCAAATACCTTGGTTATATTCCAAATTCCAATTTATTAAACTCATTAGTCCCTAGAGGTATTGAGGAGTTGATCGTACGATTAGAAATTCCAATTTATTGCTTAGTCCAATTTATTAAAATCATGGCTTAGTCTAATCGTACAATTTAAAATTCCTTTCTCCTATATATTGAGGGAACTGATCGTACAATTCGAATTATTTTCTCTAAACTCATCTAGCGGGGGTCTGTAGCTAATAAGATCTATTAATATTCCCCGGAGTATATAAAGCGACAGGAATTAAGCGATTTCTAGGGCTGCCCGGACCAGAACAAAGAGAAAAACTCAACCTGAGACCTCTGGAGAATCTACTTTTAGGTCAATGTCAATAGGAATCAACTCACGAATAAAGACAGACCAACTTGAACCGACAATCTTGATACTTGATACTTGAGATGAAAAGACCAGCCTGAACAGACAATCTTGATACTCAATGAAAAGCAGACCCGTCTTTTGAACGTTTGTTGAACACTGCAACTGTGTAACATTTACTACAAATTTCCAAAAAAATAATAATAATAATAATAGATGTAGAATTGATCTATTATGCTAAATAAATAAATTTAAGAATTGGTCTATTATGTTAGATAAATAATCCAGGAGTAGATTAATGGCCTAATTTCGCTGTCTGATTCTGGAAGAAAAACTAGAAAGGAAACAAACATGTGATTCATTTAAGCCTTTTTTTTCTAGGAAGCCCCAAGTTTTATTGATATATATAGGAGTACTGCCTCTGACAGTACCGAGATTACAACAGGACCAACTTAAAAACGAAGTAGAAACAAGCACACAAAACAAATAACAAACAGTCTACATCACCAGAGCATTAAAAACTTGCTCATTTTAGTATTAGTTTAGTAGGATCGATGATAAGGATCAATCCTAGTTACCCCTAGTGTTCCTTCTTGTCCCAGGATTGTTAGGGTCCCCTGTCCCAGTTGTTGAATAACCCAACCCACCCCCAGTGTCTCCACCATACCCCATATCCATATTTTCATCTGACCCAACTGGCCTTGCTGAGTTATACCCAGTCCCAGTATCCGCTGTGGGGTACCCACGGCTGCCGTCATAAACACCGCCGCCTCCTCCATAGCCACCACCAGTCTCACCTCTGTTGTGGGTGAACCCAGCACCACCACCACTAGGGTTGACGTCATGGATGCCGCCTCCGCCATAGCCACCACCAGTAGCACCTCTGTTGTGGCTGAGGCCTCCTGTGCCTGTGGTGAAGCCAGCACCACCAGTAGGGTTGACGTCATGAATTCCGCCTCCGCCATAGCCACCGGTGTCACCCCTGTTATATCCAGTCGTTGTAAAGCCAGTACCAGTACCAGTACCAAAACCACCACCAGCTGCACCGTGACCAGCTGTTGCGTTATGATGGCGGGCCTCCTGTTTCTTCATCTCTGCATCTTCTTGTCTAACTTCTTTCCTTTCTCTAGCCATCTCTTTCTCAGTAGGATCACTTGTCTTCATTTGGTCCATCTAAAACATCATCATAATAATGTAACTGCGACCCTAGTTTAATATTATGATAGCACGTAAGAAAGGAAAGGAAATGAAATGAACCTTTTCCTTCATGGTGGCCTCGGCCTTCTCCATGCCGGCCTTGGTGGAGGTAGCTGCATCCTTCATTGACTGCATCTTCAATTGTTGTTGACCTCAGATATGACTTAGTATTTGTTAATGAAATTGGATACTGGAGATGCAACATTGTTCCCCATTAAATAAGATCAAATTGATAGTTCCCAAGCTGCCACGTATAGGTAAAACCTGACACGTATGCTTCTTTAATCAACTGAATTTATTACACGTTTCGGACAAATGGCAAGCATGTAAGGCCTTGGGTGTTTTTGTCTTTAATTATGGAATGTATATACAGGAGAAGATAAGATGAGGTGGCGACAGGAGGCAGTTAGCTGCTTCGGGCGGTGGCTTATCTTTACTTTAAAATAAACGTGCTGGTTTCAATATATGAAAAAGATAATTATTAAAGGTAATAATTTTATAAAAAAAATTATTTGATTTTGAAAGATACATCCGCAGGTAATAGTGTTTCTTCAACTGTAGTATTTTTCTTTCAAATAATGAGTACGACCTTTTTATTTATATTTAATTATTATATAATTTCCTTTTTTTTTGAACAATTTTGTTCGTAAAATAGAAGATTTTGTTGTATTTTTAATTATGTAATTAATTATTTATTATAACTTTTATTAAATAATTGTATAAAATATTAGTTTAACATTTAAATAGCGTTATAAATTTAAATAGTACTTTGATAATAATTAATATAGTGAAATTGTTCATTTATTTTTTGACTAAATTATCGGGTTAATATTTGATTCAAATCAAATTTAATCAAATTAAGTTCAAATTATTTTTCATGTCAGGTTACTTTTGATTTAAATTGTTTTTGATTCATGTTACTACTATTTTAGGTTCTTTTGATTTATCTTACTATTGATTCGGGTTAAATTGATCAGTACGTGTTTATATCGATCCAACTAAAATTTGAGTCAATGTTGATTTAGTTTAGTTTGTTTCGTGTTTCAAATCAAGTTTGGACTATCATGTTTAGGTCCACATCAAGTCTTGAGTCAAGTAAATAAATTCGGGTAATCGAGTTTAGATCAAAATAGAATGGATTTTATTTCAAATTATTCTAGCATCATAACAAGGTATTCAAAACAAGACATGCAAGTAAAAGGATTAAATCACCAATTTGATAATAGTAATGGGGCTATATTCATAATTTGACCTCATCAGGGTGTCATTAATAACCCATTAAAAATTTTGCACTAATTCCTAGCAATAATAAGAGTAAGATGACCAAAAATGTCAAATTAAAGTAATGGTAAGATGACCAAAAATTTGCACTATCTAAAAGGTTGAATCATGCTCATGACGCAGCTGGGTACAGAATTATTTTCCCATAGCCTACACGACAATGCTATTATCTTATGAATCTAAACTACAAAAACTCAACTCGATTGTCCTGAACATTACAGATTCGGAAATCCGAACAATGTATTGGCTTGAAGAAATGTGGAGCACATGCTTCAAAACATTCCTCAGTTCAATGCCAACTTATCGCATAAAGACTGATATGCTGTGTTACAAAGCTTGAATTTCTCCTCCGCAACAGCCTGATCATCCAACATTCAACCATCAGTTTACTAAAACAGAGTTAAATAGCAATGGCAATATCAACAATTTCGATAATCGAAAAGTACATAACGGTTCGGATGAGCAATTATTTACCAGTCTGCTATGTTACCCAGACTAGGGTATGAAATGCTGAAAAAGGGTATATGTACAAAACGTGTCTGTTATTTTTTTCTTTTTCGAAGCTCTATATATCTGGATGATCACCCATAACTATGTCCGATTATAAATTAAAAACGAATACTATACGAAAAAATGAAAACTCCAGGTAACATTGCCAGTTTATTTATTGAATGTAGCCAAAAAGAACCCTCACATGTTTGGTTAAATAAGTGGGTTAGCTGCTGTAAAATGTTCTCAGTATATGATTAACACCTATTATTTTTTAATTTAGATATTAAAGTGTCAAAAAGTTTTTTTCTTTATAAAGGGTACGATCCTGAATCTTACACAAAATAATCAAAGTTCTTTGTTTTAAGCAGAAAAACAAAGTACACTGATGAATGGGGAATGTATACCTTGGAAGAGCCATGATGACGATCCGGATGCCATTTCAATGCACAGGCTCGATATCTAACAAAATAAGAGAACGAAAATAATCAGACAATATAAAGAAATAATTTTAGAAAGCAGGCACGGTAGTGAAAATTGTGAAAAATATAATAGGTTACTATATGTAATCCTAAAAGAAATAACATAAAAAAAAAAAAAATCAAAGGTTTTTGAGAAACACAATGAAAGAACTCACGCAGTTTTGACATCTTCAAGTGTTAGAGGATCAGAAGCACCTAGTCCAAGGGCACGCCTATCAGCAATCGTATCTTCGTTTGAAGTCTCATTGTTACCAGATTCTGATGTGGAGTCAGAATCCTCATCAAATCGATCACTCCAGCTCCAAGATCTCTCATAGTAATTCGAGTATCTGGATTTTCTCCATTGAGGGTACTCCTCATTAATGAAGGACCAATAAAAGAACCGGCTTCCACCAAAGGCAGACCTAAATATGTTCTCGATGTCATCATTGATGTCTTCACAAAACTCAAAAGGTCCTGATCAAGTAACCAAAAACAGTAAATTTATGGCACGGAACCAGGAGAGCAACATGCTAGTAGATGCAATATGCTATGTGAATTTTCCAGAAAATTTCAGAATAAGGGCATAATCTGTTTTGAACTAATTGACAATGCCTAAAATTGAGCAATAAGCATCCCATCCAAACACAAAATGGAGATTATTAAAGCAAAGCCCGGGATAGACCAAACACTAAGGTTCCAAAAGGCCATTACCAGGAAAAACAAGAACAAAATATAATCTAGAGGCTTCTTTAAATGTAGAAAATGTCATATGAACGGGTAACATATTTATAGGTATGCAAAAAAAAGGTTTTAAGAGATTAAATCCTTACTTCTACCCCTGTAATAAAATCCTTTATTGCCAGGCCAATTTCTTTTGGATCCCTTACTGTGTTGCTTGTTGAACCATGAAGGACCTCTACTTGATGATGGATTGTCTTCATGAAACTCGTCTTTCCAGCTCTGAAACAAAAATCACCAAAGAACGAATGAAACCTTATGATTCGAAGTAACAATTGACGATTTCTTTTTACGAAACAATATGCTTATAAACGAACAAAGATTGCTAGTTTTCAAAGAAAAGTTACTGCAATATGCATTATTATAACAACCTAAAGCAGTGAAAAGTTCGTTTTCTTTTTTCAGAATTTTCATTTAGAATTAAACATTCTACGAAAATTTTAAAAGGTCCAACCTCCGTCTGTACCATAAAGCTTAAAAAGAATCTTCATGCTGATTTATGGTGAAAAGGGAAAAACCATATTTGACTGATTCCATAAAGAATCAATTAAATATTTATTCAACATGTCAGACCTTAGTTTTAGTAATTCCCTTTTTAGTAAATTGCTTACTCATTTGAAGCCATCGATAATACTCATAGGTGGAGAAGTAGCAATAAACGCTAGACACAGTAAAACATGCTAAGTGGCAAGTTCAGGGTATGGGTCTTGACTAGATTCAGTAGTAGTAATTTTCAAAGTAAGCATGAGTTGTTAAATTTGAAATCAATTCTACTAGACATGTAGGAAGCAACGGAGGTCACAGCTGTGTGTGTTGATCCTGCATATTATATGAGACCAGCAGGACCTGCACCTATATACATGCATAGAATTTCTAACATGTAGCACAGCTCCCTTCAGGAATAGAAGGGCAGAAGTGTATGACCAGCTCGGGCTACTAACATAAGGACATTGGCTACAGCAACACAAGTCCATCATAATGCAGCATTTGAACACACAGGATTAAGCTTGCTTTTTCCATAATTGTACAGGTTTTATTTGAATTTTGGCATAAACTAGATAATCAAGTAATTAATATGAATAGAAACCTTAAAAAAGTCATCTGCATAAGCACCAAAGTTGCGCAATAGTTCTTGTTTTGCACGCATCTTTCTATGCCTCTTACCCTGCAAACAAAAGTATTACAAGTACTGTATGAATATCATTCAAAATTTTGAAAAATAAATAAAAGAAAACTTTTAAGTATTGCAAGTAATGATAAGAATAGAATTCTGTCTACGTTTGGAATAATTAATCAAAAGAAAATAAATATTCCTACAGGAATACAAGAATTGGCTTGCAGAATTAGTCTCCAAGGGCACTGTACCTGCTTAGAAAAGAGTGAGACTAATGCTTATAACATATAAGCATATGTACGAGTAAAGAACTTAGAGGCGAAACCAGAACCCAATCATCCTAGAAAGTTCTTGCAATCTGCTATCTTCTCAACAATGGATGCTTTGTCTAAATGATTGTTTACATGTGTCTACAAAAACTTAAGCATTCAACAAAAGGATTCATCATCTAAGCACTCCAAAGTAAAAATCCATTTCTTTCAATAGCTTAATACAGTATAATATCTTAGGGAAAAAGTTATTTTTCTGAAAAACATTAGTTCATATCCCTGATAGATCTTGAATTACAATTGGCTTCCACTACAAATTAAAAGAAAACAATGGCTGCTAGTTATTTTCTAGAGAGTTTTCATGCATTTAATTAAGACAGAAATATAGCTTAAGAAATTAAATATATAATCCCAAATTCAGAATTTCACATTTTTACTAAATGAAAAATCCATTTTGCACTTAATAATCATAAATTAAAAAAACACTCAATTGAAGTTGGAACCAATCAAATTCACAGGTTTCCTCTACTTTTCAAAAAAAATATATAAACACTCTTTACCATTCCAAGTTACCATCCATTGCGGAGACAAATCATATATACAACCAAGATCCCAATATCTTCATCTACATGTTACATTGAACCCCAGGTAGCAAAAAGGCTCCATTTTTAACATTAAAGAATAAAAAATTAGGGGGAGGGGGGAAGCATTAAAATTTTAATTTCAGAGACTGTTCTCTTAACCCAAATTGTGAAATCTGATAGACCATAAATTTAAAAAATTACGGCAAATTTTCACAAAACAAACCCCATTGAAG